ACCAGTTTCCTGCAATGGTCAACATTTCCAATGCTCCCGCCTGTATGCCTCCTAGTTTTCCAATTAGCATCGGGAGTGTTGTGGTCTTTCTTCACACATGCAGATATGTTTTTCCACTTATGAGTGTTCCAATACTGTAAATAAAATATATCTATAATAATATAACAAGGAATAAAAATCAACAAAAACAAAAATAATGTATTGAATCCCTTACAGCACAAAAGTTTTTCCAAATATTCTCTGGGATGTATTCGGGATGGAATTTTCTAAGATGTGAAAAGATTCATTCACATATTCGATCTAGTGGCCACCTTGTTCTGCTAAAACGAATGAAACATCCCTAACGTCCCTCATCCGGTCACGGTCGCGCTTCTTCAAAATATTCTCAAAGCCTTGGTAGATCCTCTCCTCTTCTGTCGGATACCACCGATACAAAGTCTGAAGAAAAAAATGTTAAATTCAAATATCCAAAATAAAACAAATGAGCATAAGATATATTAATAAATATTTAATATATTACCCGGAAACGCTCAAACATCTGTGTGCGTAACTGCAATGGGATCTTTGAAAAAACTGGCCACGGGTGATCTAGTTTCTCCCAGAATATATTCATAATTGCCCTATGGACACGAAAATCACCAAACCTGCAATATGATATATATATATATATATATATATATATATATATATATATATATAAAAGTATAATCATAACATCAATAATCATAAATATAAAAGATAAAAACACTTACGCGTAGCCGTATATATATATTATATATATATATATATATATATATATATATATCTATATATATATATATATAATCATAACATCAATAATCATAAATATAAAAGATAAAAACACTTACGCGTAGCCGTTTCGGGTGATAAATGGCAATGTAGACTCATGTGAAGCACCCACGGTAGAGCCATCGAATGTGGCGTATGCAGCGTATTCGGCACACGTGGCGAGGATCTCCTCATAATGTCGACATCAAAGTCTTGATCATAGTAGTAATCGGCGTGCTCCTTGCCTTGTCCTCCAAAAATGGAAACCCCATGTGGGTTGAGTGTGCTATAAATCACCCCTACCATATCCGCAAGTGGATCATCCCTATTTGTTTGTTGGTTAATAGCACCCCTTCTATTCGAGCCTGCAACTCCCGATCCTATCTCTCGTGTGACATGTGTACGTGAAGTTTTGTGTCGTGGAGCTCCACTATCGCCAGAGGATGGCCTACGAGGAAAAGGAACAGGCACGGAGCTACAGTTTGGTCCCTTACCCATACCCTTTCCCTTGCCATTACCACTTCTATCTGACATGCTGCATTTAATAGAACAAGAATGTGTAAATATACAACATTATATTGAACAAGAATGAGCAAATACATAATATTAGATTGATAAGTCATGCGAAAAGAAATATTTAAAATAATATCAGGATGTCTAACATCATTACAACAACACAACATAATTTAATGATGCACATCATTACAACAACAAAGCATAATTTAATGATGCACAACAAAAGAAAATGCTCCTAATTACCGTCCTCATCATTCCAAATTATATAACCATCGTTGTAAAACCCTTTCAATAATCATTGTAAAACCCTTTAAATAAGTGCACAAAGACATCATTGAAATCAAAGAATGCAAAAGAGTTATAGAAAAAATTAACTAAATTCTCCATTGCTACTGTGTATACATTACGCATGCCTCCCAACCAAAGCCAAATATTGAACCTTTTTACTCGTTTACATTTTACTTCCCTACCTTATATATGTGTATTTATTAAATGGATCAACACAATACATTCACTTGCTAAGAAGCTTAAACCAGTATACAAAACTAGATCGTAAGCATCGTTAGATGCAACTGTCCGGTACGAATTTCAGTCTAAGGTGCTCTTCTCTCAGGCATTTTATCTAGCACCTGGAGTGTATCGCTCACATTCCTTCCTTTTTTCACCAGCATGTTTATTATGGTACATCCAATTAAATAAACAAGGAACAACATGTAGAGAAAGGGTCAAAGAACTAAGAGGGGTTGAGAAATCGAATCATATAGTGAGGTATTGATGTTCATACCCCACTACAAGAAAAAAGGGTATCAAAGACTGACAAAATCAGTCTCTGTTGATTAATAATCAGTCTTTGATGCGCATCAGGGACTGATTTCACTAGTCCCCAGCCAGTCCCCGAGATCTAGTCTTAGATAATCAAGCTTTTATGTATCCAGGACTGAAAGTCCCTGATACGTCTTAGTATCAGAGACTGAAAATCAGCCTCTAATACTATCTCGGTCAGTCTTTGATATATTTCCTTTGGGTCCCTGGATTTATGTAATATCAGTCCTTGATGTTATCTTTTAGGGACTGAACATCACTCCCTTATACAATCTTATTGAGTCTCCAATATGTTTCTTTTGGGTCATCATTTATAAAATATCAATCCCTAATACTATCTTTCAAGGACTAAATATTAGTCTTTGATATTATCCCATTTGTTTCCAACATCTTTCCTTCAGGTCACATTTTATGTTATATTAGTCCTTGATACTATCCTTTAGGGACTAGATATCAATCCTTGATGATATATCAATTAGTCTCTGTTAAAATTCATCTAGATCCGAATTATCAAGGACAGAATATTAGTCTCAGATAGAATGTGCTTTAGTCCCGGATATGATGTTTTTGAGACTGAAAAACATTACTATGACTGATATGTTTGGTCTCTGATATGTCATTTATAGGACTAATATTTAATATCTAAGATTGATATTCGACAATAATAATAGTTGAAAACGGAACAAGTTTTATTTCCCATGTAGATTTTATAACTACCAGTATATACATTAGAATACATAAAACTTAAAACGATTAATTATAATAGACTAACAATAAAATCACTAATAAGTAAAGTAGATGTGAAAAATAATACCAAACTTTAAAGAAAGATCTTGACTAAGGATCGGGATCTGATAGATGCGTCTTATCCTCACATATAGGATCTTCATCTTCATCAGAAGGACAGGGTACATTTTGAAAGTCTAAGAACTTCAAGATCATAAACTTTGCGATTTTTGCATATTTTCTTCAGTTTTTTTAGCTTCTCGTTAGTAACTTTCAGCTCTTCCTTGCTTTATCGATGTCTCCCCTCCATAGAGTAATGTTTTATGCTTCCTACAAACCTTTTAACAATCTTTTGCTTTAAACACATTACATATCAACAGTGATGATCATTCCAGCTAAAATTAGTTTAGCAGGCACCACCACTTTAATTTGGACAATTAGTACCTGAAATAGTAAAAAAAACTAAACATATCAATTTGTATTAAAAAAATCTAGGGTTTACCTTCGTTAGAGAATAACAAATCGAGCAAGAGTGTGGGTGACCGGAAATAAGAAAGGCGGCGACCTATGCCAATGTCGACGGCGGCAGCGCCGAGAAGAAAGCTCCGACGATCGCTAAAAAGGAAGAAAGGGGGTCTCCAGTCGACGAAGGCAGTAGCGGGAGACACAAAGGGGAAAAAGACGCTAAATGTTTGATCTGTGAAGTCTTTGAATATGAAGAAAATGGAACTAGAAAATCACAATTAAAACGCGCTTGCGAGTTTCGAACTCACCAACCAAACAGAGAGGTCAAAGGTCTACCACTCCACTATAAGACTCTTTGGTTTACCATTCTCCTTTTAAGATATTTGTTATCTTATACACAGGTATTGTTTCCATTAGCAAATTAATTAATAATTACAAAACGATCGAATCATATTTTGTCTTAATTATATTTTCTAATTCATAACACTAATAAATGAAAATTCAAATATTCTCAAATCTTATTTCTTAATTATATTTCAAATTCTTTTAATTAATAATATTTTATTTTATTTCTCGTAGTTATATTTAAAAAGTTTCTAAAAATTTGTCTTTTTTTCATAGTTATATTTAATAATATTTTATTTTATTTCGGAAATACGTAGTAATTGATGTATAATATATGTGTGAGAAAAACAAAGCGGAAAAAACGACGTATGATGTTCGAAATGTCGAAAGTTAGACAAGTCCGTCGGAAATCCGTCGGTAATTACCGACGGATTAGCGACGAAATATTAACAACAGTCGCTAATCCGTCGGTAATTATCGACGGATTTCCGACAGAACTGTTCTAATTTCCGACATTTCGAGCACCATACGTCATTTTTTCCGCTTTCTTTTTATCACACACATATAATACATCAATAACTACAAATTTTATAAATTATAGCTAAGATACACATACATACACCCATGTACACCGTCGGGACCGGCGTTTCAATTCTAATTTTCAAGTTTTCGAGGACCAAACATGGTTTTTAATCGCTATATATTTTCTTACACATTTATTATAATCCAATTAATACACATTGAACAAATTATAGTAAATTTAGTACATACAACTGTATACACCATCGGGATCCCATGTATTAGATCTTAAAGCATAAGATCTTTAGCTGGGCTCCGATAGTGTGCACGGATGTTCGCATATGTATATTAGCTATAATTTTGTAAATATATAGTAATTGATGTATAATATATCTGTGAGAAAAACAAAGCGGAAAAAACGATGTATGGTGCTCGAAATGTCGAAAGTTAGACAGGTCCGTCGGAAATTCATGGGTAATTACCGACGGAATAGCGACGGAATATTAGCAGCCATCGCAAATCCGTCGGTAATTACCGACGGATTTCCGACAAAACTGTTCTAATTTTCGACATTTCGAGCACCATACGTCGTTTTTTCCGCTTTCTTTTTCTCACACACATATACTAGATCAATAACTACATATTTTATAAATTATAGCTAAGATACACATACATACACTCATGTACACCTTCGGGACCGTCGTTTCAATTCTAATTTTCAAGTTTTCGGGGACCAAACATGGTTTTTATCGCTATATATTTTCTTACACATTTGTTATAATCCAATTAATACACATTGAACAAATTATAGTAAATTTAGTACATACAACCGTATACACCATCGGGATCCCATGTATTAATATGTATTAGATGTTAAAGCATAAGATCTTTAGCGGGGCTCTGATAGTGTGCACGGATATTCGTATATTTATATTAGCTATAATCTTGTAAATATATAGTAATTGATGTATAATATATGTGTGAGAAAAACAAAGCGGAAAAAACGACGTATGATGCTCGAAATGTCGAAAGTTAGACAGGTTCGTCGGAAATACGTCAGTAATTACCTATACAAAGTCTGTCCCTCATCCGGTCACGATAGCGCTCCTTCAAAATATTCTCAAAGTCTTGGTAGATCCTCTCCTCTTCTGTCGGAGACCACCGATACAAAGTCTGAAGAAAAAAATCTTAAGTCAAGTATCCAAAATAAAATAAATGAGCATAAGATATATTAATAAATATTTAATATATTACCCGGAAACGCTCAAACATCTGTGTGCGTAAACTCCAATGGAATCTTTGAAAAGACAGGCCACGGGTGATCTAGTTTCTCCCAGAATATATTCATAATTGCCCTATGGACACGAGAATCACCAAACCTAGAATAATATATATATATATATATATATATATATAGATATATATATATATATATATATATATTATATATATATATATAAGTATAATCTAACATCAATAATCATAAATATAAAATATAAAAACACTTACGTGTAGTCGTTTCAGGTGATAAATGGCAATGTAGACTCATGTGAAGCACCCATGGTAGAGCCATGACCAGTCGAATGTGGCGTATGCGGCGTATTCGGCACACGTGGCGAGGATTGCCTCATCATGTCGACATCAAAGTCCTGATCATAATAGTAATCGGCGTGCTCCTCGCCTTGTCCTCCAATAATGGAAACCCCATGTGGGTTGAGTGTGCTATGAATCACCCCTACCATATCCGCAAGTGGATCAGCCACACCTGTTTGTTGATTTATAGCACTCCTTCTATTCAAGCCTGCAACTCCAGATCCTATCTCTCGTGTGACATGTGTACGTGAAGTTTGGTGTCGTGGAGCTCTACTATCGCCAGAGGATGGCCTACGAGGAACACGAACAGGCACGAAGCTACGGTTTGGCCCCTTACCCATACCCTTTCCCTTGCCCTTACCACTTCTATCTGACATGCTGCATTTAATTGAACAAGAATGTGTAAACATACAACATTAGATTGAACAAGAATGAGCAAATACATAATATTAGATTGATAAGTCAAGCGAAAAGAAATATTTAAAATAATATCAGGATGTCTAACATCATTACAACAACAAAGCATAATTGAATGATGCACAAAAAAA